CCCCCCACCCTTCCCCGCCAAAATAAATCATTGTAGAGTTCACTGAGGTAAAGTTATAAAATACTAGTTTCCATTGGCTGAGAAGTGTACTGATGGCTTCAGGATTGCCAGCACCATGATCAGAGCAAAGTTGATAAAAGTTGCGATGGACGCCGCTTGTTTCAGAGTAAGTGGAAACCCGTATGTCTTGGTACCCAGTTGGAAAGACTTCACCAGCTTGAAAAATCTCTGCCAATCTTCTTTATCGCCTTGTAACTGACCGACGGACCACACATAAATGAGATGTTGTGAGACGTTTGAAAAAGTTCTGGTGATCTCTGCAGAGCTATACAGGAGGCGTAAGGACAGGAGAAACCATATGCACGTTTTGAGGAAAGTCCACCAGTGGGAAGACGGAAAATTGGGATCGAGGTGAACAATAGCCGCAACATGGGTAACGAGACTGACCACGGAAAAGAAAAGAAGCAGTACAATGAACGGCTGGAAAAGGGTAGCGAGGGCGTCGATTCTGTATAACACGTCTGCAAGAAGTTTACTGGCATCTGCTGCCGAAATTTGTGGTCGTTTTGGTACATTTATCCGCCCTTCTATTGATTTGGAGAACTCAGCTGACTCTGCGGAGAAACTATCAAAATCCTGTGTTGTCACCGCATCCCAGTTGCCCTCCTCAAGAATGCCGGGATCAGCGCTTACCTGAATTTCATCCAATAATGGAATTTCCTGTTCATAGACTAAAACAATGTCTTTCTTAGTCTGAAAAAAATCCATCGAAACAAATCCACTCAGGCCATTTATTACTTTTTTCAAGAAGCCGAGCTTTCTCCAAACAGGAGTTTGGTTTCCCGAGGGCCGATACAACAGAAATGGACTGTCTCCAAACCTGCACATGAAACTGATCACATCCCGCACTGTCAGTCGGCAGATCAGAATGAAAGAGTAGGCTACAAATCCAGTGATATACATAGCCATTGCCCAGAAGAAACAATACAGTACGCGCCAGGTCACAGCGTCAATTTCGAACAGGATAAAGTTGCACTCCTTCCAAGAACCTGCAAATTTGTCCCCTTGAAATTTCGTGTGAAAAATCGCATAAGCAGTCCATTGATAAATTTCTAGGACGAATGGATAGATGCAGTTTTTCAAGGCACTTTTCCTCAGCCAAGATGCTCTTTGTGTCTCGTGCCACGGAATTCCCTGATCAGACTCTAGAAAGCCGGTTACCATGGATTTTTTAGATAGCTTCCTTCGCAGTAACTTGTTGAAGGCTGAGGACGTGTACACGCGAAATCCAGCGATCAGTGCAATCAGGGGTACGATGTAAAGCGAAAACTGTATCCATGTATCGACAGATGACCGCACAAAGACTCCCAGACCGGCCACAAATGTCATTCCTCCGAGCAAACAAATGAAAATAAGTCCTCCCAGCCAAGAGTGAACTTTTGAATAGAGCCGCTCTCCTGGTCCAAAGAGAATGGATGTCGCGACCATGGGGGATAAAGCTCTAGAGTAAGAGTTTCTCGCTGAAATGGATGCACTTGATAAACTCATGTTTGAATCTCCTGAAAAATTAAAATTGAATCGTCGGTCAACAGTCGCAAGTGTTTGAAACGCGAATGAATTTCATGCTAGGGTCCAGGGGTGCTCATTCTTTATATAATTATATTTTTACAAATATGGGCCAATCAATCGAAGGCAAATGGAACTGTTAATAAAAACCTTTGTTGAGAGTCTATTTAAGCGTGTTGCCTCAAAACTGGCCTCAGGGGGTGATTGACTTTTTCCTTTTTTCGCTCGATACTTCACTCTATCCTTTGAAGATTTGTGATCCGAATCTGAGAGAACAGAACACCAGAAAAAAACAGCGGAGACTCGGGTTCCAATAATCGCAGGACCATTCCCCTTAGGTGACCTAATCTCTTCCAAAGCGGTTGTTTGTTCTCGTCACGCAACGCGCTTTGAACTTCAGCATTGGACTGAATAACGTTTTTCACTTTTATTCTTTAGTACATGAGCAACGTTACAATAAGAAATCTCTAACACATGATTATCTAATTATTTTGTACAAGCATTCGGATTGATCTTTTTCATGATCTCTGGACGGACAGCAACCTCGTTCCCAGGGCCTTCTCTCTTCTACTAAGGGGAAAGCCCTGCGAACAAGATTAAGCGGAAAGATGTATGGATGACGTCACATAGATTAATCATAGACAATCGAGCCTGTCCAGTAAGAACATCTGACTCACTCGGCTGTGCTCCGCGGGCCACTATATTTGAAGTATTTGTGATCTATAACAGAACAGACGCACAGAAACATAAAATCTGTTTGTTAGATCAGTTGATAAACCAAACTCTCTCGCACCCTAGTTGCGGCAGATAAGCTACTTTAGAAACTTACCCCCTTAATCCCTTCTATATAGTATCCTTGGCTGAAGATTATTTGCGAATTTATGAAAGTGACTGAAGAACAATGAACGAACCTCTATTAAAAAACAATTTGCTTTCATTCAGTCTTGATCATGGACATCTGTTGTTACCTAGCTCTGGCTAAATACTTTCTTTCGTTCCCTCGCCATTTGAACGATACTAAGATCTACTCCAAGCTTCGAAACTCAACTTATTCAGGAATGTGTTCTGTTGTTTGGACAGTCAGAATTGTAGAAAAACCGTATGTTGTAGAAAAACCGTATGATGTTTCAGTTTGCTTGATTTTTTAGGTTGTATAGCTTTCGCTGGTGAAGGAATCAGATTGCCAAAGAGCATTTATGTACCGGCGGAGATCCAATACTTCACTTTTTGCGAGCAAACCAAAAGGGAAATCTCGAGTCTTACAAAAGCTTTCGAAGCAAGCCATCTAATTTATTTCGACCAGCTTTCA